GGGGGGGGGGGGAAGAGACACATGTGGGAAGGGGGAAAAAAGCCCCACAAATATTTGTCAGCTGGCAAGTGCTGTGAAGAAAGGAAGATAAAGATAAAGGGTTAGGAAGTCCCAAGAAGGATTAGGTAGAACTGTAGCTATTGGATATGGAGTGATCAAGGGTAGGTGTCTTTGACAAGTTAATATCTGAGTGAAGAGAGAACAGAAGGAAGTGAAGGAGCCAGCCATGGGTTGTCCAGGTAAAGAGTATTCCAGATGGAAAGACTACTAAGTGCCCAAGATGGGAATGTGCTTGGCATACTGGTATCATAGCTGGGAGGTTAATGTGCCAGCAATGTTAGTGAGCAAACAGGAAAGAGATGAGATCAGAAAGGCAGCTGAGACTAAATGACATAGTCTTTTAGATCCCTCTAAGGATTTTGGATTTTACTGAGAATGAGATAAATCATTGGACAGTTTTCATTCAATGCAGGACATGACTGGCTTGCATGATTACTTGCAGCTATGAGGAAAATAAACTGCAGAAGGGCAAGGGAAAAAACAAACACACTAGGTAGGAGGCTACTGCTATAGTCCAATTAGGGAGATGGTGGTTTTGATAAGAGAGATGGTGAAAGACAAGTTTGCCTGCAAGGGTTTGGCCTGAGCAAGGAAAGACAGGTTTGCCATTTATTGAGATAGATAAGACTAGGGGAGTAGATTAGGGCATTGAGCTTTAAACGTTTCTTCTAAGATACCTCTTCCAGGAGACATCAAGAAGGCAGCTGGATACCCAAACACGGAATTTAGAGCAGGACAAGTCTATGTTGGAGTCATAAATGTGGAGTCTACTGTTGATGCTAAATATATTAGAGGAGAGCACATAAACCAGTCAAGGAGACTGAGAAGGACTGGACAGGAAGAAAGGAGGAAAAGTTCACAAGACTTCAAGAAGAATGCATTTTACGGAGGCAGTGATCAATTTGGTCAATACCACTGGGGTAAGTTAAGGAAGATAAGGACCAACATTGACCCCTCCATTTAGTAGTCATTGGCCAAATGGGTGGAGGTTATTAGTCCCAGCGTCCCTGAAAAAAGAAAATCAAAGTCCCAAGAGATTAAATAAATTGAACACCAAGGTCACATAGCCAATTAGCAGCAGAACTAGGCCCAGAACCCAAAAGAGAACACGAGCCTTCAGAAGTTGGCCAGGAAGAGGAAACAAGATGGCAACGTAGAAAACAGCTGTACCCACCGCCTCCTGCAACCACATCAAAATTACAACTAAAATACAGAACCAACATCACTTAGAACCTCCTGAAATCTGGCTGCACAGAAGCCCTACAACCAGGGAACTGAAGGAGCATCGAGAGGGTAGGAGGGGCGGAAACGCGGGCGGATCGGGGCTGAATTTCAGAGACGCGGCCCCAGGCCCACACCCGGTGCCGTGGGTTAAATCCGGGAGGGACATCTCCGTGGTGGAGGTTTCCCGGAGGGATGAGGGGTCCCATCCCCACATCAGGCCCCCAGCCCAGGGTTCTAGGGCCGGGAAGAGAAGTCCCCACAACTTCGGGCTGTGAAAACCAGCGGGGACTGTCTCTGAGGGTTGCCAACAGCAACCAAGGCTCAAATACAACAAGACAGTGCACACAGCCCACACAGGGGAGCACCTAGAAGGCCCAGCTCAGGTGACTGGGGAGGCTGAGCCACTGGACCCTACAGGACACCTATTACACAAAGCCACCCTACAAATTTCAGGAGACACAGCAGCTCTACCTAATACCTAGAAACAAACACCAGGAAGCAGCCAAAATGCGGAGGCAAAGAAACATTTCACAAAGGAAAGAACAGAAGAAATCTCTAGAGGAGGAACTAAATGAAATAGATCCAAGCAAGCTAATAGATACAGAGTTCAGAATTTTGTTTATAAGGATGCTCAACCATATTAGCAAGAGTATTACGAAAATAACTGAGAAAATCGATGACATACTAAAGTATCAATTTGAAATAAAGGCCACAAGAACTGAAATGAAGAATAATTTACAGGGAACCAATAGTAAAGGATGCCGAGAATCAAATCAGCAATTTGGAACATGAGGAAACAAAAAATACCCAACCAGAAGAGCAGAGAAAAAAGAATCCAGAAATACGAAGATAGCATAAGGAGCCTCTGGGAAACTTCAAGAGGTCCAACATTTGTATTATTGGGGTGCCAGAAGGAAAAGAAAGAGAGCAAGAAATTGAAAACCTATTTGAAAAAATAATTCCAGAAAATTTCCCCTACCTGGGGAAAGAAATAGACTTACAAGTCCAGGAAGCACAGAGGGTCCCAAACAAGAGGAACCCAAAGAGGCCCACAGCAAGACACATCATAATTAAAATGCCAAAGGTTAAAGACAAAGAGAGAATCTTAAAAGCAGCAAGAGAAAANGTCCAGGAAGCACAGAGGGTCCCAAACAAGAGGAACCCAAAGAGGCCCACAGCAAGACACATCATAATTAAAATGCCAAAGGTTAAAGACAAAGAGAGAATCCTAAAAGCAGCAAGAGAAAAGGAGTTAGTTACCTACAAGGTAGCACTCATAAGACTGCCAGCTGATTTCTCAACAGAAACTTTGCAGGCCAGAAGGGAGTGGCAAGAAATATTCAAAGTGATGAAAAACATGGAACTACAACCAAGATTGCTGTACTCAGCAAAGCTATTATTTGGAACTGAAGGTCAGATAAAGAGCTTCTCAGACAAGGTAAAGCCAAAGGAATTCATCACCACTAGACCAGCACTACAGGAAATGTTGAAGGGTCTTCTTTAAGAAGAAGCTAATGAACAAAANCAGGAAATGTTGAAGGGTCTTCTTTAATAAGAAGCTAATGAACAAAACAATCTGACGAACGAAATAGATCCAGAGACACTGATGCAGGCAACAGACGATCATATTTCAGAGGAAAGAGGGAAGGGGGGTGGAGGGTGGGAAAAGATTAACCAAAGAAGTTATATGCGTATAAGCATAACCCATGGACACAGTCAATAACGGGGTGAAGGCCTGGGGAAGGGGTGGGAGCAAGGTGGAGAGGGTCAATTGGGGGGGTAGGGGAATGGGACATTACTTTCAACAATAAATTTTTTAAAAATAAAAAATTAATTAATTAATTTTAAAAAAAGAAGTTGGCCGTATTTCTTGAATCCCAGAACAGGCTCTTCAACAACATGTTATGATGTCGTCCTCCCCTTGATAACTGTGAATCAGGAAGAGGCCTTAAAAGAACATTAAGACTGTAAACAAAAAGGAATAAACTTCAACATTAGAACTTCGGGCACAATGACAGTGAGACAATGGTTAGGATTTCATGACAGAGGCAACACCTTTCACCTCATTGAAAGAGGCAGACACTGCCACCAGAGCACACCCAGGTGTCGAAACACACTGCAATACAAAGAAATGTTTACATCGCCTCAGAAGGAATTCTCTGTGCATAGTACTTCACCAGATGACTTCCTTGTAAATAAAGAGGTCATAAGTCCCCCCAGGCCCCATTCCCATGTTTCTAGCACTGTGTGTAGTCAGAGTTTGAATAATGGGGATCTGATTCCCCACCCTCTTTCCTTCACTTGATTTCTTTATCAAGGTGCCCAAAAGGAGGGAGAGGGAGGCTACATTTTTACTTTAGGTTTTAGTTTTAAATTAAATTTTCATTTTAAGATTTAAAAATTCTAACAAATTTTTAGGGGGCCAAAGGCACAAGAAATCTAAATCATTTAGGTATAAAGCCCGTTTTAACAGTCCCAGCTGCTCCCGTCAAATCACCACCACCACCAACCAAGGAGGCTCGGCCAGTTAAGAAGTCACTCTGCCGCCCAAGCCTGCCGAACTTCTGCAGACCAGGAAAGCGGAGAGTTCCGAGGGAGGGGGAGAGACGGCCCGGGCTGGGAGCGAGCGGCCGGCGGTCCCAGGGCGAGCAGAGGAAGGCGGCCCCTCTGCCCGCCGAGCTGAGCCAAGCAGACACCCGGCCACGCCGCCCCGGGAGCGGGAAAGGTCGCGGCGAGGCTGGGACGCGCGGCAGAGGGAAGCGCAGCCCAGGGGCGCCAGCCCTCCCGGAGTCCCGAGCCCCCGCCGGGCGTCTCCCTCCCTC